GGCCGAGCCGGCCGGAGCCGCCGGGCGAGACAGCCATGGCCGAAAGCCTTTCCTGGGAGCTCGGTGTCTGCACGGGTTAAGGCGTGCGGGACGAGGTGGAAAAGTTGCTGTTGAATTTCACTTTAAGGGACCGGACAGAAAGCGGCGAAATGGATGACTTCCGCTCCATCTGCCTGCTGTCTCTGGCTATGCTGGTCGCCTGCTATGTGGCAGGAATTATCCCCTTGGCAGTTAATTTTTCCGAGGTAAGACAGCTTCGCCAAAGTGCTCGTTGGTTGCTAAGGAAGAATAGCGGAAACGAGATAGGAGGGAGCTACCAGGAGGAGTTAGTGCCGTCTGCTTTCGTGTACAGCAATGCTGTTAGGGGTGATGTCATACCTTTAAAAGACTCTAAAGGAACTTGTGAATGCGATTTTAATTTTTATTCAAAATCACGGTGTAAAATTATGCTTATTCTACAGTGTGTACAAAAGTGCCAAACTTGCTCTAAGGGTCTCAGCTACAGGTGAAGCAAAGTCTCAGTGTCTAGCGGAAGCTGTGATAGCAGCTGGACACGGTTATTCCTAGAAGCTTGTGTCAGAAGCTGCTGAAGTCAGAGGTTAACTGTTATTAAGTGCCTGTGAACTGCTCAAATTAGGGGTCTTTAAAAACAATTCTGAGAACTTACTGTTTTGGCTCACTATTCTGTTCACAGCTTGTGCTGCTGAAAATGAAACATTAGCTCTTTGATTACAACACAACTTCAAGTTATGGTACTGTTCTGTGGATCTCAAGGCATTCTTTTGGGAAAATATCTTGAATACATAAGGTGTCGTTATAGGAAAGGGAGACTTTCATAGATCGGAGTTTCCAAGAAGTACGGGAGTTCAGAAGTGAATATATTTGGGAGCTTCTAAGAGATGATGGTTATAGTCTCTGGAAGTCTCCTCATACCCTCTGGTGCCCAAGGGCTTTTTCTGTTTCTAAGTTATGCTTGTATGGTGTAGTGTAGTGAGAGTTTGGGTGTTCTAAGGCAGCAAGAGCTGTCTTGTGAGAGCTTTCTTATTGCTACTGGGAGCAGTGCTGCTTTTGGAAAGCAAAGTGCTGGAAGAGATATGTGTCTTGTTGTTCCATCAAGTCACAGACCTGGTTGCACCTGTCCTTTGGTGCCGGTATTATCACGAAGCTCTGAACAGCATGGAAGGAAAGGCTGTTTGTTTTGGTAACAGTACAGTTCAGCTAAATGAGTTGAAACAGGACATGTATTCCAAAGTCTTTACATAAACATCAGCATAGTTCTATTTTGCCAGTGCTTCATCTGATGCTTTGGTAGACCTTCCCTTCAAATGCTGTTGCTTCCACTGGCTTGCTTGTCAAACCTCGCTCCTGTCCTGGAGCCTCAAAGGCTTTTCTTGAAATTTTGCTGAGAATGCTGCCTAGCATGCTGGTGTTGTCTATTTTTTCCTTTTGTGTTTCCTCCTGTATGTTCCTGATAGTCACCTGTTTTCTCTGACTTTGTATTTGATGTTGTTTGAAGGTAGAATTCTTGATCTGTGTGTGTGGTTTATTTATTGTTATATAGTTGAATCAGGGGGCTCCCCAGTAGCTGTAGGAGTACAGATCTGTTGTGGATCCAAAAAAGTGTGTGTAAGCAGTAATCACGTATTTATTAGCCTAAATTCTCAGAAATTCTTGATTCAGCTTTACACTTAAATTAGATATTTCAAGGATCCATGTACTCTGGCTTAAAAGAGGAGGTGAATCTCTGTGAGTTATGTGCAAACACTAGCTAATCCTGGAAGTGTGTAATTAGAATTTAAGATTGTTTTGTTAAAAAATGATTGCTGAGGCCCGTGCACTATGGATGATTTAGAACTGAAATGACTGGAATGTGCATTTTGTCATTAGAAAAAAAATCTTGTAGGTGGCCTTGGTGAGGAAAAATGCCTCCTCCCACTAGCCACTTATAATGGCTAGAAAAGAAAAATGAAGGCTTTACGTAATACACATCAGGTGCTGGAGAAAAATAAAACTATTTGTTGGTGTTAACACTTTTCTGCAGTTGATTTTTCTTTTTTTTTTCTGTGGAACCTCTTGGTTGTGTTCTGATTTCATACTGGTTTCTGTTACTTTAATTAGATTGGGATATTCTCCGAAGTATAAAACTCCAGCAAAGCCAGGATATGACTAAATATTTGGTGGTAAAAAGGTGCAGGATGAACACAGCTTCCCTTTGTTTCTGTATACAGATGTACCCTTTCAGCTTATTCCTGGTTTGCACTACTGCTGGGCTAACTTTGGTCTGGAAATGGTACTGTACCACTTCTTGAGGGTGTCTCCCAAGTTGTAGCCTAAATGCAGGCAGCATTGCCTGGGGTAGGACTGCTTGCTGATGACAGTAGGTGTGAGTTTCTGCTAAGTCCAAGTAAGAGTTTCAACACCACGCAGATTTAAACCAAATACTGAGCTGTGCAATGCCTTGCTAAGTTGAGGGATTTTAAGATGCCTTTTTTTTTATAACACTCAACTGTTGCTCTCATTAAAAATGAGACACGCAAGTGTGTGTAACTGAAATGTTTTGATTTCTTGGATCAAACGATGACTTTTGCCTGTCTGAGTAGGCTGCGGTTATTAGATGCTGTATTCGCTGTGTCTAAGTATTTTGTACTGAAGAGAAGATGGAGACTTCTTGAAACTGTGACTTGTACATTATTTTTGTAGATCTTTCAAATTCACAGATGCCCAAATGAAAGCAAGCAGTACTCTGTATTTGCAGTTGTAATAAAACAGTATTACTTTTGACACTTTTCCCTCCTGTGTTTACGTATGTATGTAAAAGATGATAGTGCTGCAGTACAAAAATAATCTTGGTTTTCCTTGTAAGTTACTATAATTTTGCAAAACAACTGTATGACCAGTGGGTGTCGAAGACTATTTTTTCATGCAGATTGCCGCTATGTAACAGTTTACCAAGTATAATTGTTATATATGCCAGTGTACAGTGCACGTTTGTGGAAACTTCACAGGTGTGTTCATCTCTTGCATATTACTGCTTGAATTTTCCCCAGTAACGCTTTAATTGTTTCCGTACGGTCACATCTGGCTTGCTTTCAGAAAGCCAGTTGTGCATCTCTAGAGCCTCCTTTCTCTTCTGTGCAAGTATCGTCTGTTTCAGTGAGGTTACACAACGTGTGTGCCACTACAGTGCGTGAAAGAGGAGGGATAGCATAGTAAGGGTATGCAACAAGTGGTTTCCCATTAAACACTGACCTCTGTCTCCACGGCCTCGGGAGTTAAGGCCAGTATTTTGGTATCGCCCAGATGCCGTCTTGTGCATGGAAGGTGATGGTTCTGCTACAAAATGTATGCTAAATAGTAGTTGTGAGGACCTAAACTCCCACAGTTGCTATGTGTGCTGTGATAAGGGCTATTACGGAATTGATGAGAAAAATCCTCTGCAAGTTGCTGTATTTTAGGGTCTCTTAGATGTTTCATATAACTGGATTTTCAGTATGTGGCTTTGACTTTAGCCTGTCAATGCTGCAGTCACAAGGAAGCGGAAAGTAATAGTGTACTGTTTTTATATTGGTAAAACAGAATTTAGTCAGTTTGGGAAGGATATATCTCTAAGCTTTTTGCCCAAAATTAGAATATAACTAGGAAGGTAACCCTTGGTTATGGTAGCAAGTACTGAAAAACTCCTTGTGTGTGGTTTTTCGTATTGCAGAAATTCTTCCTGTCATATGAACTAAACTATTTTGCTAAGCTATAAAACCATTAAGTCTTTGTATTTTTTGTTAAGCTTTAATTGCAAATTTGCCATACTTATTTAACAAATATATTTTTAAACCCGATCTTTGCAGAGTGGAAAGGGGATTGCTGTGGTCTGTAATTACCTGGAGAGTGGAATATAGTTTCTATTGCCCTAAATGCCTTTACAGTCCTTAAGTCCTTTTAAAATGCTACTGGAAGGCTTAGAAATGGTTGTAAAAACAATAAGCACTGGTCTGCGTGTATGCATTGCCTGATCAGATGAAAAAGAAAGACTGAGGTGTAATGTATACTGGCACCGTTATCAGTTTGACTCATGCAGTTCCCTCATTCAGACTCTCATTTGAGTAAGCCTTTGTAGATTGTTTTTTTACCATTCTGGTTTTGGATCTATTCTGGGGATTCAGTCCTTTCTGCTGTGTTTTGTAGCTATCTGACATCCTGCAAGTGCTGTCATACTGTAGCTCTAAAACTTCACCGGGCACCTTTTTTTTTTTTTAAATGCATGGAACACATCATCAGATATTTCAAGTACAAAAAAAGTATCGTTCTCTTAAATGACTTGTTTATCCACAATTTTATGTTTTTAATGTCTGCTCTTCACTGAAACCTTATTAAATAGAAGGCCTTTAAAGTATGGCTGTTTTAAGGACAAGTTTCTACACAAGAGTGGCTGTTTGCTTTAGAGACTGAGATATTCATCTGCATGTCTAAGAGCTTAATTTAATCCATTTCTCTATACCTGCAGGTGAAAGTAGAGCTCTTGGTGCTTTTTTCTCTAAAATCTTGCTTTTCTTTCTGTAGTCCTTTAACTTCTCAGCCTTTCTCTGTGTTATAAATACAGCTGACTTAGCAGTTTACATTCACACTTGACCAATGGATGTGTATCTGTAGATGCATTTACATTACTGGTTTTCTTGTCTTCCTGATTTTGCCTTGGCAATTTAGTTTTCTTTCTTGTATTTTCTTTTATTATGTAGATTGGCTTTTTTGGGGAACAGCTGATCTTGTGCTGTGCCACGCCTAAGAGATTTTTAGGGAACTTGCATGTTTAAGTATGATTTCTAGTAGGAAGGATAGATTTGAAAACAAAGCCATGATAGAGATAAAACATAAAGTTGCAAATATGCTTCAAAATCCTGGCACTTACTTTCAATCTTTCTTTTGACTCTGTGGGCCTTAGAGGATCAATTAGACCCCAGTAATCATTAGTGCCAAATACAGCAGTTCTTGCTTTTTTCAAGTATGCGACATGTCGTTTCTTGTCTGATGTTAACGTTGGAATGGGTCGTCTTTAACTTCCATTTCCTACTTCAGTTGAGTTGGTTGCATTGGACACAGAGTCTGTTTGCTTTTCACAAAGTTCATCGTTAGAAACATAGGACTGTGTAACTGGGGGTCTTGAATAAAAATCAGCAAGAGGTTTTGTGGATCTTTTGCTCCCCTTCCCCCTGCCTCAACCTCTGTGAATGAGGGAGAGTAAAGAAAAACTTTTCATTCCTAATGATAATACTTGTTTTGACCTTGCTCGTACTTGTTTTGTCCTTGCTTGCAGGAGAGATTGAAGCTGGTGACTGTTCTGGGTGCTGGGCTGCTGTGTGGAACTGCCTTGGCTGTCATTGTGCCAGAAGGTGTACATGCACTTTACGAAGACATTTTGGAGGGTAAGAACCAAACCCGCGTGGCCTTTGCTAAGATAACTCAAGTCACGATGTGGTGATCTACTGGGGCTTTTTTCTAGGGCTTTTAACATGAGAATGGTGGGAGAGTTTCACAGCAGCATGACACAAAGCCAGCACAGAATCACAGAACTGCCGTAGGCATGGTACTGCACATTCATGGTGATTTGACAGAGGGATGGGATCAGGATGCAGTCACATGACTTGCTGAGTGGTCCAGGTGCTGTACAGTTCATGGAACCACAGCCTCATGCGACAGGTCACGTATCGTGCTCCTTATTCTGGGGAGAGTTTAACTTTCACTGGGAGTTCAGATGAGGTGTAAGGATGCCTTTGGCAGAGAATTAAATTGTGGACTATTTGCTGTTGCTTTTTGTAGTTTAGATTGCTCTCATTAAAGCAATCACAGGAAGTGTGTTATAGATCTATACAGACTCGCCTTTGTGAAGAGCATCTTGGAATTAAGTTACCTTAATACACTTGACTGAAAATTGTGGCCACGTAGGGCTAATTCACAGAGCAGGAGACATCTTTCTTAGGCGATGGTGCCCATTACCTGTACGTATCTGTGCGTGGTTCCAAGTTCAAGAATCCAGTTCTAGTCTGCTGTCACTGGTCTTCAGAACCTCATAACCTCGTAGCCCCTAACAAATAGGTCAAAGCTAAGAGCGATTATGTGTCTTGTAGAGACATGAGCGTGGAGCACATCTTATACCCAAACGTTTTAGTAAACAAACCTCAATTTGAGGTTATGACATTATTTTAAATAGTCAGGGCTCATTACCTCTCTGTGGAGTGCACTTTAAATCTTGCTTTAGCTTGGAGTCCTGTGATATGACGTTAGCATTGCATGCATGAGATTTCTCCAGTATGCTCAGATTCAGAAATTTATCTGAAGGTATACACCAACAACTTAGTTGCTTTCTTCTGTGGTAACTATGAAGTTGAGACTGTAGAAAACTTTGCAAGTGTCAGACGTACTGTTGTTGCTAAACTGGGATTGAGAGATAATTTTAATCCTCTGTTTCTCTTGTACTACCTTTTTTTTTTTCCCCCTTGTTTCTATGATTTTAAACTTCATTTTAGTAATATGCTTTAATTTATCCTAGTTTAGTTTCCACTACATTTATGTTGTTCTGCTTAGATTTAAACAGAAGGTAATATATAAAATCGTCCTTTATCAAGAAGTGAAAGAACCTCTGATTGTGCTTTTATACTGTACCATAATTTGTGCACTCTAATGTAGGATGTCTCTAATGAGCTGTAGTTGTGGGTTTGCTCTCTATTCAATTTTAATTGTGAGTGGACTAAATTTGGCTTGTAATGATATGGCTAGTAAACACAATTGCTATCAACGTTTGCATTTTTTCACTAAATGGGGCATACTGTCCATGCATGAATTCTACAGCCTGCTGTATGCTATATAACATAAAGTTTAGTATGTGGAGAAAAATGACATATCCCTCGACTGTGTTGAGGAAGTGGGAGAACAGACACAGTAAACCTGTTGGAAACACTTGAGTAATACTGTGTGCACAGTGCCTTACCTGCTGTGGAGCTACAACTATTTATAACGAGAGCATTAAATGCCTCTTGTGCGTCACCCAAAGGGCTTTCTACCCTGATGTCTTCTCTCTCTGCAAGGGGCTGTGAGGGGAAATGTAAAAAAAAAAAAAAAGAAAGAATATACAATTCAGGTGAGCACAGAGTCTGAACCAAGAGGTCAAATGTTTGCTGTGCTCTATGTGGTAGTTAGCAACTCAGTTCAAAATTCCCTGTTCTTATTCTTTTCTTGTGTCTTTATAACAGTGTATTCCCGTATGCTGTTGGCAGAAGAAGGTTTAGACATGGTTCTCTGCTTATATCAGCTGGAAACAATACCTAGAATTTTGCTAAAAAAGTTAACTTTGTTAAATGTCTTTCACATAAATGTATTAAGGCAACTCGTGCCCATCTTCCCATCTTCGGTGGCCAATACGGTTAAAGCTGTGTACTTCTGGGCATTGTTTGCCCTCTGTATCAGGTGGAGTTGCAGAAGCAGTAACTTCCTGTGGTCCTGAGCAAGGTTGGAGGATCTCATGGATCTGTCTTGGGAGCCACTAGGCCAGAGGCTACTGGAAATGTTAAATGCATACGCTGGAAAAACCTTCTCCTTTCTCTTCAAGCCTGTGTAAAGTCAGACTGATGTAAATTCTGTTGAAATTGGTGGGAATTTTCTGTATCTGAGAGGTATTTTCTTATGATAAAGATCAGACATGGTCTTTATGGGCAAATGGCAACCTGTAAAAGTTGCTAAAGTTGTATTTCATGTCTGCTTTCTGAAAGTCATTGTAGATAAAAACATTTTCAAATCTTTCATAGGTTAGTAGGAAATGTCTCTGAGTTATGAACTGTGAACCAAATAAAGCATTTTATACCATGGAAACTTAACTAAAACCCTGTCCAACTGTCTTCTTTCCCCTTATATTTAAGAGTCATTCCAAGATCACCTAATTTCAGGGTAGCTCAGTGAGACAAAGTAAATGTCTGGGCATGGAGTTAAAGCTGGTTTAGGGAAGGGAAACAACCACAGGACACTCAGCCCCAGAGCTTGGATTTTGGGTTTCTAGGATCATATTGACAGTGTGCTGACTTAACTGTTGTTCTAGTCTGTATCAATGCTAACTAGTATCAGTAGAGGCTGGTGCTTTGAGATAAAAGGTTCATATTCTTAAAGATAGCATTAGACTTAGTGGATGGAACCTACTTACCTCCTTGTCCTATATTTTCTCGCTTAAATGAAGATTATGACCTAACTGCTTGACAGTATCTGAATACTGACAAAACTGGCAACTTCAATTAAAAAAGGAATTATTCAGCAATTTTTACCAATCAGTTTGTATTCAAAAAGCAACTTTTAAACAGAATAGCCTTGCTTATCAAGTATTAATGCCTGTTTTGCTTTTCCATGCTGAAGATGTATGGGGAGAGGCCAACCAGACAAATGTGTGCTTCCCCAAGTGAATGGTCCGAGACTGACATTAATTCAGCACTTTCCCTGAAAGAGTTCCTCACCCGTACACAAAGGAGGTGAAAAGCAACTGTGCCGTGTTTAGTCCCCTGCCTCCTAACCTGTGTGCTTGCCTGCCCCAGGGAAGCATCACCCAGCGAGCGAGATGCAGCATGTGATGGAGTCCGAGAAGGCAGCGGAAATCCCGGTGGTACACGAGTATGGCCATGACCATTCCAGGTTGCATGCCTACATTGGCGTATCCCTTGTCCTCGGCTTTGTTTTCATGCTGCTGGTGGATCAGATCGGCAGCTCTCATGTACACTCTACAGATGGTAAGTAAAGATTAACTTCAATTAGACTTGCTAATTAGTCTTTAATTAGTTTTTAATTAGCTAGTTGCAATTTTTTTGAATTTTACTGGGATTTCATTTGACCAGTCACATCCAGAGCTTCAGTAGGTGCTTTACAAACCTAGAGCAAGGTCTTGTGTGAAATGTTTTTGCTGGAAATCTGTCCTGGAATCCAGCATAACTTGAGAACTTGCTTTGCTACTGTGAAATAACTGTATGAGCACATATGGTCAGGGGTTGGGGGGTGACTTGACACTGCAGTTATTGTCTGTTTTAGTGTCACCCATAGGGGATTTCTTTGGCTTTCCAAAAAACCTTCAGGTTAGTCTTATCTTTGTTTGTTTTTCCTAATTAATTATCATACATGCAGGTAAAATTTGCAAAGAACAAAAAGTTATCTTAATTAAGACTGCAGAAATAACAAGATGTAAGCTCTGGTCCTTCACTGTAACTGCACAGCTGGACTCCCACACGAGTCTAGAGCCTCACGTACTTCATAATAGTTCCTGCTTAGTCCAAAGATTTCCCAACTTCCTTGCAAGACTCAAAATGCCTCCAGTTGCCTGCCTGTGGCTTCATTCTCAGACTGTAGCTTGAAATGCAACAAAGCTGTTTTGTCATCTGTAAAGGTATTTTTTGCCTTTGGCTACTCATTTTCTCCCACATAATCTCTGATGGTAGAATTTCAGCCTCCAAAATTTAAGGAAAAATAAAACATACACAAAGTAAGGGGGATATGTTTTGGTTGGATCCTTGACAGTTCACGGTGCAGCTGCGCAAATGCTTGTACAGGGTTAGTGTGGTGGTGGTAGAGATGGGGGAGGCCAGTGCAGGGGCCGTGCCATCTTTGCACTCCTGGAGAAGTGTAAATGGAGCCACAGCCATGGCTAGCTGATCTTCAGAGCTGTTCAAAGGAAACGGTGGCAGTGAGGATGGCAGGGGCATGCAGGTCAGCGACTGCCAGGAGAATCCTTGCTTCGTACAGGTTATGACCCTTTCCTGTGTCTCTGATCGGAGTAAATACCAGGAGAAAATTGACTATGATCTGCATTGCAGATGTGCTCTATAAAGTAGGATATTAAGTAAAGTTTTATCTGGTCTGTACCTCAGTCACAGGAAATGTAGTAGTGGTTTTGTAATGTTTTTTAAAGCTACCGAACTAAACCATTTTTTCATTTGAACCAATGTCTGGTAGTCTTGTTATCTCCCAAGTGGCTAGATTTTACTTTGTCTAACTGGAAAAATTTTGCAGGCCAGAATGGAGGTATGAAATCAAATGTGAACTCTCTCGTAGCGTGTGTTCAGTTCTGGTCAATCCAAACCAGGTTTAAAGGAAGTGCTCATTGTGAATATCTCCTCCTAGCTGACATGAGTATACCATTGTGTCCTTGAAGTCCAGCTTATGCAATTAATTGCTCAGATAGGCTCCTCTTGACTCAGAAGATCAGTCTGACCAGAGAACACATCCGTGTTTAGCTGGCTCACTGCCCTGATCTGACTCACTGGGCAACTACGTGGGTGCCTGGGCATGAAGAGGGTGACTGGAGGGTGGAGGGACAGGTAGGAGGAAAGGAACAGGAGTGGGCTTTCCGTTTTGGTGGCAGCGCGGACTTACTGAAAGTAGCCGTGTAAGCGTGCTTGCAGTCAGCTTGCTGACTACTAGTATAATTAAGTAACAGCTGATCAACTCTTTAGAATTAAACAGCTGAATGATGTTTCTGTACTTGTGTAGGACTTACCTGCCCAGTTCATTGCAGTGATTGTTCAGAACAGCTTCACTGCTGGTTGCCTAGTGGTGGATATTGCCCTGTTGTGCTGCATAATGAGCTAACCTGCAAATGTCCTCAGAGCAGTTGTCAAACACTTGCAGTCAAAACACTGGATCTCGGGCAGCACTGGCTGCACTTCTCCTCTGTAGTGTTTAATGCTGGAGGGAAATCTTTACCACTGCTGCTGTGGCAAGTAGAATTTATTGCTTACTAGGAGTTGCCAGAGATCAGTGCAACAGAGACTTCCCCAGACTGCTGTCTGAAGGAAAATGCCAACACTGTGCTGTGTGGGGAAGATTCGTCCTGACTTTTGGAGCAGCTCTGGATTCTGGGGATGCAAAGCTAACTGTTCTTCCCCTTGGGAGCACAAAGACAAACCCTTTAGCGTTTGGTTTCAGGAGGTTAAGAAAAACAACTGCTTCTGCCTATATCAATGGTCCTATAAATTACAAAGAATTGTCTCTGACTCTGTCACTTGTTTGTCAAAACTTCAGGTGATTTGAAGGTGTTTGGTATCAGATGATTTTGCAGCAAATCTCATGCAGACGTACAAAAGCTGATGGTTTTGAATAAAACTGCCTAAGCAGATGCTAGAGGCACATGTAGCGATACTTAGTATTTTTTCTCTTTATCTTGACTTACCTCATGACTTTTCTAGATCCAGAAGCTGCAAGATCAGGCAACTCCAAAATCACCACGACGCTGGGACTAGTAGTCCATGCTGCAGGTAATGTGGCACTCGTTAGCTCTTGATGGGGACTTTGGTTGCCGTGTGGCTCATTTTCAGATGTGATAGAAACACTTGGGTGTTTGAAGGTGGCTTTTTATGAATGGGGGAAGGGAAAAGGTCAGGGTGGCGAGAACTAAGGATCTTCCCCAAAACTTACTGGGAAAATATACTGCAGTGGTCAGAATGTTCCATGGAGTCTTTTTTGGTTACGGGATTTTCACTCCATTGTTTTTCCCACCTGGAAAGTCTGATGCCCACTCTCTGCCTCTTCCGTAAAAAAAAAAAATACTGTTTACAAAAATAATATCTGGTGGAAAAAGAACATCATAGGGTGGAGCATGAAGGTTTGACTGGAACACATCTGGGCTAACATGCAAGGACTGAACAAGTTACACGTGTGTTGCAGGCAACCTGTGTTCATGTTGTAGTTCTTCACTATATATGTGTAGTGATGCTTTTTAATCTCTCCTGA